ATATCTTCAACNCGACGACTATCACTCAATAAGCACCAAACGGTGTGTGACGGTTTATTGAAAATAACGAGATGGTTGTTCCTCTGTCGGAATTCGAACATGTACCTTCTAATTAAGCAAATACTTATTGTTATACAATATCGACTTTCAGGATAGTACATGCTCCATTTACTTCATGTGATCTGAAATGCTTTTCAAGACAATTAATTTGTTCGCATGTTTTCAACGAAGTGGAGAAAGTTTCGAGAAAAGATAACTAAAGTTTTCATATTTGTGCGGATGGAACATGTAACGCGCGTCAAGTTCAGCATGTGTAAAAGATTATAGCTTAGCACAGCGGCAGTAAAAGCAGCCTTTATGGTTCTGATATTATACATGAAAATTCAATTGAGTGGCCTTTATCTGACGTGGCCTTTTTCGTCTATGTTCGCTACTTTAAGCTCAAATGAAACTACGTCTCATTACTCAAGAAGAAAATAAAATCATTATTAATTATCCGCATGTACACTCCTTACATTGAACATTGCGACCGGGTGGTTGTCACCTCTGCTTCATACTCGGGAGGCCCCGGAATTAAACCTCTGTTCGTAGACAGGTTACCCAGACTCAATGTTTTTCTTTCGCCTCTTCAGGCAAATCCCGGGACAGTGCCTCATATGAGACCAGGACCGCTCATTTCAACATACATTACAAATCAGTAATCACAAGGGCCCGGATTTTGATGACCTAAAAATATTTTTAAAATTACATTAAAAAATCTAGAAAAATGGCTTATAAAATGACCGAAAATCCAGAAAAATAATCTAAAAGTTAAAAAACGACGTAAAAATATATCATGTCATGGAATATCTACTAATTGTTTTAAAACTTATTTTTAATCTTTATTAACAATTTGAACTCAACGTTACTCTTTGAAGATCGTCCTCGTTTTTATGTTGAAAATTAAGCAATATATGGTTGAATTTGAAGCTAAATGTTTTAATACAATTTTTTTCTACGGCTTTTGAATGCTTATCAAATGTAAATATTCGATTTATATTCCAGTATTTAAGTGCCACCTCATTCAGCGTTGCAATAGATGACAGTCAACATGGGGAGATTCTTGAAGGTGTGTGAACGCCTATTGTCCGACAGCACATTCTTGTACTTGGAGAAGCTCCTTTCCACATCTGCAGACAAAATGGTAGCGTACTTGAAGTGTACCAAATCACTAGCAGTAAGTTCTTCTTCAATACCGAAAGCGCTGAAGGACTCTCCTGACAGAATTCGAGGAATGCTGCATAATGTTTCATAACCTGAGTTTTTATCCAGAACACTTTTAATTTTTCTTGACACCATTTTACCAATGTCCCCTGATACTTTCTCCAAATCACTGGCTATTTTTTTTTCACCAGAGAGAGCGAATCTTCTAGCATTGCTCCTTCTTCCTGTAAACATTTGATTCCTTCTGTCAAGGAACTGAAATTTGCCTTTATGAAGGCCAGCTGTCCTTCCATTTCACTGCACGAGAACTGTTCCTGGGCAGCTACAGTTGCCCTCGCATCCTCCGTCTTCATTGAATCTACAATGTTTTTCACTACCTGAAAATGATCGCAATAGTAAATTGCAGCATCAATCCACGTTCCCCACCTTGTGATGACGGGTTCCGGGGGCGGTGGAACACCAGGAGCCATAGACTTAAACTGCATTTTACGGGCTGGAACCTTGACGAAAATCTTCTTCGTCCACGACACGAGAGTATCCACTTGAGAAAATCTTGATCTCACTTCCTGTCACTCTATGCAGTGCACGTGCTAGGCAAGTAACGTGCACCATTTTCGTAAAAAACCACTTTATTGACTTTGCCTGTTTTTTAAAATATATGGGGCCGCATCGGTCACAAAAAGCAAGACTACGTCGTGTCGTGTACCCTCTGGCCACAGTAGAATCATCGAGCGGTCGAAGAGTTCACAAATTGTGGAATGATTAACGGATTCTAGCACCTCACTCGTAAGCAGAAACACTTCACCTGGTCCATCAATTTTCAAGGTTCCAATGATGACGTTTGCCACGTAGCGAGCCTCCATATCGCAGGTCTCATCAATAGAACCGAAAATCTTCTTCCCATGCACTTTATTCCCAATCATTTCCAGGATATTGTTGTAGCACTGGGAAGTGTATTTTTTCTGAGGATGGATTCATCCGGGATAGAACGACCACAATTCACTTCCAGAAAATCTTTCAGTTTTTCATTGTTCAGAGCCCAAAACGGTTTATTTGCGGACACCAGAGCATCACACAGATCTGTGAAAAAATCCGATGACTTATTTCCACCTTCAGATGAACACTGTTGCAGTAACTTTTATACAGATTTCTTTTTCTTCGAAATTTTCACTGCTTGCATATGCTTGTTGCGGCCGATATGTTGTTGTACCATGAATCTCTTTTCTGCCGCTACTATTATGTCATACAGCTTACAGTATAAAATGTTACCTTCATTTGAAAATGTATCATCTCCAAACTCAGCTACAATCTTCTTTAAATGACACGATTTGGATGGCTTTTCTTTAGGCATCGCGATAAAATGAATCACTCTAGTGCAACACAGAACCGAGAACCTTTCGTCACTGTA